TTTTTTTCTTTCTTTCTCCTCCTCTCCCGCTCTGCCGTACGCCGATAAGGGCTCGACGAGCGTGTCGCGGTACACGCCGTAAAAACTCGCCCGGCAAAATACGACGACGGCGTTTTTAAACGGCGCGCCGTATCGCCGCGCGATTAGCGTAACGCGCGTTACCACGATCACCGACCGATACGCTTTATCACGCGCAATTATTTCATTCGCGGATGTTGATCGTTCGTTAATGAGTCACTTCCTCGATTTTACCAACCGCGCTTGCGAAACAGCCGGCCGAGTATATCTTGGATCGTAATCGTTTGTTACGATTCACGGTGTGTTTATTAATGAGATCGTGGACGCCATTTTTCTCTGATAGAAAGCATTCTACATCTAGCGAACAATTTTACACGGATCTGAAAAATATCATTGCGCGCTCGGTTAATGTTCTGTGTGAATCGTACCGAGCAGGATTACTTACAACCAAGTCACTGGTAAACTAAAATTAACCTCTCTCACGAAAGTCGTTAGTAAAGTAAACCTAACTTGTCTCGCGACAATGGCGAAGTTTTTAAATTCGAACAACCAACTCGACGAAAAAGGTTTTTGCACGTTAGTGTACGTACAGTGTGTTTAATACGAATAAAATGGCCGTCGTTTCTCTGAAAGAAGGTTTTCTTTTTGCAAAACATTTTGCACGGATCGAAAGTGCACCGAAAATATTATTACGCACTTAATTCGTAATATGTCCAATTTCCACCACTAGCGATTATTGCTTGGACGCAATATCGGAACATTATTGATAGGTAGATAAAAGAAAAAATAGAAATCACTATCGGCAGAAGAGTTTATTATTTATGCACGTAAGCTTCAGCTCGTGCCCGACACGACGTAAATATTCTAACTATTCCTCCCATTGTTGATCTTTTTATAATTCTAAAGAACATGATTTACCACATAATCGAATTAGTCTTGACAGTTTTCTTTCGCCTTCACATGACGAAATGAAAAAAAAAAAAAAAGAATAGCATTTTGTGTCTAAAAACTTCACCTTAATTTCGTGAAAAATATTGGAAAATATTGTTATACACTGCAGATTAAACATTTTCAGATCGTGGTCTGCCCACGGAAATCCAATTGTCAAACATCCGATAAAAATGCACGTTTGTCAAGGCGGATTTGGAACTTTACGCGTCTATAGAAACAATCTAGACACTCAGATTATAATCAAAGTGTACGAAAGAGGACTTTTAAAACCAGTTTTGAATACTTCAAGAAGATAACGATCCCGAGCATCAAGGCCGCGTTTGCGCTCACAATCAGTGAAAAAGAGAAAACGGAGGATGAATTGGCCATCTCAGTCCCCCGGATGCCGATCCAATTGAAAATGTTTGGTCAGTCAGGAATCATAGTCTGCGTGTTTTAACAAGAGTCGACAAATTCGAAAAATACGAGGATCTTTACCTGCCTCGTATGCTGAAAAGTTGGCGAAAAGCGTCCAAGCAATTGGTGGAATGCGCTAGCGACTGGTTCGCGGACCATAACGAGTGACCGAACCGTGCACAATAATTCGTCGCTTTCTTTTCTTTCTGAACTCGTCGGTATGATATCACTGAATAGAAATGATCAAGAAGGAATAAACTCATCATTTGTTTTGCCTGGGTTACATTTAAATATACCTGAAACCGCGAAAATGTTGCAATTTGGGACAAAAAAGTCTCGACGTGCGTGGCATGTCATTCCAGCGCAAGAGGTTAATGTGCAAAATATGTTGTGCGAGGAAAAATGATAGGTTAAAATACTGCAAATACTAAATAGTAAATACTAGC